CTCCCACATTCAAAAAACATGCTGGTAGGTTAATTAGCTCCTGTCTAAACTGGCCCTGTATGTATGCATGTGAGATAGGGACCTTAGATTGTAAGCTCCTTGAGGTCAGGGACTGATGAGAATGTGCACTGTAAAGCACTGCTTAAAATAGTCGGCACTGTATAAATACCAATAATAAATACATTATATTTATATGACATCATTTTAAACTAATCAGGTTTAGGAATATATTAATTTATCTCAGTGACTCGTTGTTTACTTCAATAATATGAATTTCCCTTGCATATGATGGATTGAGTGAAATTATCAATACATCTTTGGTCAGTATTCTCTTCTATCAGTAATTCATTTACAACGAGTAGTATCACTTCCTTCTAAAATACTGTATGTGAATTTTGCAATCATGTTATTGGAGTTGATTTACTAAAGAAATGTTCTCTAAGTAAAAGTGAATACTCACCTATGATTGGATTTTCAAAATACAGCTCTGCCTTTTTTTTTACTAAGCTAAGTGACAATGGTCAATGGAGATTAAAGGGACCCTGTGTTCACTTTCAATATCCAATCGTAAGTGAGGGAAATAATTAAAAAAAAAAAAAAAAAAACAACTGATTTTTGCTTGCACATAATTTGATAATTGATTGAATTATGAAAGTTACACATTTCAAGTTGACCATTCACTTTAATAAGTGAACAATCTCTATTACTTTATGAAATGAACTCCGTTGTGTAAATACACTTCATTTAGACATTTTCAGATAGCATGTTGAAGTCATTATCTTAGAAGCAAAGATAATAAACATATTCACATAAGTCTGAGCATTACTTGTTTGTATTTGTACTCAGCAGTTAGGTGTCTGCAATCCAAGTTTACTTAAATAGTATAGAGACAAATATTTCCAGTAACATGAAAATAAAGCCACTTATTAATAATTGCATGCTTTTGAATAGAGCATTAAACATGACATCACCAAACATTTGCAGGTGGTTGATCATTTACTGTCATTTAGAACACAAGTACCAGGATGATTCACCTGCAGTTAATTTTTGGTGAATGCCACAGCCAATGCTTTGTGAATATGGATATAAATGTTTATATAAAAGTTTATGTAAAAGTTATATAAAAGTTAAAATTAAAATTTGGCAAAAAAAAGTAATCACCAACTGAAACTTCTTTCTATTGGTGTAAATCCCCTTGTGAGTTTTGTGCAAAATAGACATGAAAATGTTTCTGTAATTATAATGTACATTTTTTATTCATGTAACTGAATTATCTTACCATGGGACACGGGATTTTGCAATCACTGCATGTTACAATGTATACATGTTATGTAACATATATGACATTATAAAACTGTAACCATTGACTTCTTGGCAAGATGAATAAATGTTTCATGTTGATTCAGTCGGCAACTGTCTGTCTGTCTGTCTGTCTGTCTGTCGTATCTAACTACCTGTGTGATATGTGATCTATTGTTCAGCTCATGTTGGATATCTGTGTAATTTTTATTGATAGTATATGCAGAAAAAACAGCTTATACAAAAATTAAAAAAATAATAATATAGTAACTATTCAATAAATAATATAGGTAACTAATAGACCAGTAGAATGTCAAAATCTTTGTTTAAAATACTAAATTATTATTTTTTAAATTAAGATATAAACTTACTTTTTTAGGTCCATGTTATTTCATGTCTAAGAACATACCACAGTAACTTTTTCAATACTTTTACAAATACTAAATGATTCAACTACTGGTGTCATATTACAGTAATTAATAAATCTTAAAATTAAAAAAATCTTAGGTTTGATGCTTATAAAATATTAGAGATTTATTTTACCAATATTTGAATATATATCATGATTATGTTTTACATTAAATTCATGTTTTTTTTTTGCCAAAATAACCTTTCAGAGAATTAAGTGACATTATGTTAAGATTTGCTATACCCAAACCTGCCGTCATCTAGCTATAGCAATATTTGTGTATTAACTACATGCAATCAAGATTTTACTCATAGCTCAAGGACATTTAATTTCAATAATTTGTTTTTTTTTAGCCAAAATAACATCTTAGAAAAATAAGTGAGATTATGTTCGATTTTGCTCTACACTAACCTGCCATTAACTATCTATAATTATATATGTTTGTTAACTATATACAGTCAATATTTTATTCTTAGCTATTGCAATTGACACAATGAACATGGTTATGAAAGTAGAACATAGCAGTTTATATATTAACTTTTCATTTTTATTGGATTTTTTTTTGGGACAAAGTGAGCAACAACTTTTTTTTCCTTCTTTATGCTTTTGATAAAAATGTACCAATGCAGACATTACCTCCATGGATACTGTGCAAAGCATAGGTTGTATTGTATACCTAAATATAATGCTATTTCTGTAAACACTGAAGCAAATCAGTTTAAATTGTACATTTTGTTTTTAATAAAACTTAATGAATGATATGTTGACAAAGTCACATACATGAATATGATAAATACAAAGCAGAAGTAAATGTAAAACTGTTTGTACTTACGTTTAATGTTTAAAAGAGTACCATGGCTAATTGTGTACCACAGTAGATACATCCCCTATACATGCCGTACAAAAACCTTCACTGCAGGCAGAAGTTCCATGACTCTGCTATGCAGCAAAGCATGTGAAACAGGTGAAAGAAGTATTTTATTTATTTCTTTAACGGGCAGTTTTTATGATAGTAAACTGTATAAAACCATTACCTAAAGGTCCAACAAATAACAAAAAAAGGGTAAAAGTAGTGTTTATTAAAGAATGGCAATTTTCATGGTACAATTAGCAAACTGACAGGGTTATTAACAAAGCTAGCTGAGTGGCTCAGACTGATTAGCTTCGGCCGCCTGGGGCCCTTCGGTTCAATCCAACCGAAGGGCTGCTGTACGAGCTATTCACTATAGCCCCGTACAGCTCCCGAAGTCCCGAATTCGAGCCAAAGGCATTAGGCTATTCACTGCCGTTCGGCCCCTATGAGAATAGGCCGAACAGCAGCGAGTAGCCTGCCGGAGTTTGAACTCCTTCTATACTTCGGGTCGGCCGAATATGCTGAGCATGTTCAGCCGGCCTGAAGCCAGCCAAAGCCAGCCAAAGCCAGCCAATGTACGACTAAAATCAGCTGTACAAGCCTGAAGTGAATAGCCGAACAGCCAAACTATTTTAATTGGTGTCTTACAAGTCCTACAAAGCTGAAATCCAGTGAGCTGTAAAAATTACCTTTGCAGTACCCCTTACTCACACACTCTGCAGTGGTTTAATGCTCATTTTGACTAGAGGGATTGGAATAAGCAGGAATATTTACCTTATACCTTATTTCCAATGTACTCTTCTCTGCTTTCCAATGTTCCAGGATGTGGGTAGGCTTTTGCTGTCCTCAAGACAAATGCAGGACTGCTGGTCCTGCATAGTACATTATGATGATGGAAAACATGTGACCAGAGAAGTAAAATGGCTTTGGGGCACCGGTCCAACATGTGGAATGAAGCCTGTGGGAGTGAGGAATAAGGAGTGGGACAAATGCAGGACTGCTGGTCCTGCATAGTACATTATGATGATGGAAAACCTGTGACCAGAGAAGCAGAGTAAAAACATGGCTTTGGGGCTCCGGTCCTACATGTGGAATGAAGCATGTGGGAATGAGGAATAAGTTAAGTCTTATTGCTTATTCCTATCCCTGTAGATGACATGAGCAATCAATCCT